TCCGCCTTGGGTTACAAACTGGATCCACGGCCATTTTCCCTGCTCCATGCGGTTGCGGCTTCCTGTGGGCGAGATCGCAGTAGCAAGGAGACGTTTGGTGAGGCTTGTGGTGTGTTTTGTGGCGTTTTGGAAGGTCCGGAGGGCAGAACGGATTAACCGTATTTACATTGAACCTTATGGGGAAATTTGCTTCGGGTTGCGACCAATTCGGGTTGCGACCAGAGTCGCGGAACGGATTAAGTTCGTAACCTGAGGTACCACTGTATAGCCAAAAGAGGTTTTCAATAAAACGCCAGTTTTACAAACTTCACCAATAAATGCTACTGCAGGTGCAAAAACCTAGTGACCCCCAAATGATCTTGACTGCAATTCCCATCAGCTGCAGCTAATGGAGCCATTGTTTATAGATAATAGCACCTTTAATCTAAAACATCTGAAAGGACTGATTTGGGGGATACAATAGTAACACTGGGATACATGCTTCATTGATCAGACTCAGTACAGGACAGATTCGTACAGACTTTTGATAGTGTAAAAAACAGAAAGGATTACAAAATCATATTAATCAACTAATTAGTTTACTAATATCCTTCTGCTATATAGACAACATTTCTGTGTTTAATACACATTATTGTAAGTATTAGTAGTGCAATTCTGTTATTTATCAGGTTTCTGTGAATATTATGTCATAAATTTGTGAAATTGTATTTTTTTTATACATAGCATTTTTTTAGGTAAAAATAAAAGGTAGAGAATGTGATTGAGATAGGTGATTAAGGATTCAGTGCAGTATGAATATTTCATACTCCTTAGTGACCAGCTATCAAATCCAATTAGTCATTATAAACTGACCTTGCTAAGATTCTTTTTTTTTTTTAAAGAAAGAAGCCAATAAAACCTACATTTATAAAACTGAAAAGTCTTTTCCCCTGAAAGTTATTAAAAATATGCCCAGATATAGTTTTAATCTCCACATTTTCAATTAAGTTATGATGGTTAGATTTCATTACCAGAACTTTGCTACAGTCATAATGGAACTAAGAAATTAAAATCATGTCATATAACTATTAAACAGTATTTTAGAAACCAACATTTCAACAATAAATTCAGCAATTTAATTAGTTCTCCCAAGAGTTCCCTACAACAGAAGGCACGCAAAAGAAAAAGACTCTCGACTTCCTGAATAAAAATAGGTTCTTCAAGATACCAGTCATTCTCAGGAGTCATGAGTGCAATTTCTGGACAAGGCAGTGGTGGTAGACATGATTACATTTTGGTGGAAGGTCACTTTTATATCATAAACAAAGGTAGAAAATCAAAACCCATGAACAAATGAATTTCACAAAATACGTCTTAAGCATATGAAATTTAACAACAGAATTACCATGAAACTATACGTGTGTCTACCCCACTGCTCTATCCCTTGCCAGATTTCTGCTCCTTTCCTCTCTGCCCACCACCATCTGCTTATACCCCAAGGAGTTCAAGGCAGCACATAGTGATCTCTCTATCTTATCCTCAAAACAAACCCATCAGGTAGGATGAGGTGTGATTGGCACAAGATCTCCAAGACAGTTTCATGACTTAAGAGTTTGAACACAGAACCTCTCCTTCTTTCTCTGAGACTTTAACCATGATGCCACATGACATATATCCTCCTTGAGTTGCAATCTTTGTTTAATCAATGAATGGCATTTGATTCACAAATTGTATATCTCCATAAACTGCAACATTTAAGAAGCATTTGGCCTTCTTAATGTAGGTATGGTTTAATAAGGTTTTAATAGTAATGTACAACACGCTAAGAGCTAAGTATGAACTCCTTTGCTTCTTACTCCCAATAAGCTCTTGTGACTGTCTATATTTTCTGCATCACTGTAATGGCTTGGTGTTTCCTCCAACCCCAATGTCACATTTCTAATTATTCTCAGCTACCACGGCCACATAGGTCAATACATATGGAGGGCATTAGATAGAAGGAAAGGGCTGTGGAGGGAATTTGTATTATTCTGTATACCTCCAACATGCTCATACCTAAGACATCAATGTTTCCTCAATATCTCTGTCTTTGCCTGCTTGTTTAATGTAGAAGTCAATAGATTTGGCCACTAAACTGCTTAACTATCTTCCCTGAATACTACTCTGTCATGACATATATCCCCCTTGAGTTGCAATCTTTGTTTAATCAATGAATGGCATTTGATTCACAAATTGTATATCTCCATAAACTGCAACATTCTCAAAGATACTGATAATGGTATTATGTCATTATCTGCCCATTCAAAATGAGGTCCAGGGTCAAACGTCAGAATAACAATGACTTTGACTGGCATTCACAGTACTCACAGACTTAGGCTCCCTTTTACAAAGTGTTCGCTTGCCAGACACAGGGATGCACAGAATCCTGTATACCCTTATCTGTATTCCTTACTAGTTATGAAATAACTCTCTGTCAATGGTCAAATATGCTAATCTTCAATCTCTGTAACGTATATAAGAACTTGATTGACAGTCTCTGGCACTCTTCACTCTTAACAGCAGGAGACCAGTGACTCACAAGTGTTGGATCCTCTCCAATTGTTGACATGTTCTTAGATAAGTTTTCCGAGGACATTGCCTTACCTGTTCTTTTTGCTATCTTTCTGTGATTGGGCTCACATTCAAGTTACTTCCAACTGGAAGAGGTAGTGTTACCTCTCCTAACACATAACATGACACATCGGTGCAGCTATCCAAGCAGAACCCTCAAAGGACTAATTTTCAAATATCCCAGGTGTCAAAAAAGGAACTGAAACAAGGAAACATCATATTTTCAGCCAACCATCCTAACTGTAAAGGTCAGATAACACAAAAACTAAATAGCAAATCAAGGGATGTATGTGGTCTTTATGGCCATAGAAACATGAAGCAAACCAAAACCCGTAATTATATGTGCATCTCTTACTAAGGGAATTCTTGCTAAGCTCCAATTACACAGGCTTCACATAGGTTTGGGAGGAGGGCAAATGCTAATTGCCCTTCACACACACACACACACACACACACACACACAGACACTCCAATGAAATGAGAGAAGCAACTGGAGTGTAAAGAATGACACATCAGGAATACAGAAATACCCATGATGGAGGTATGGATCATGAAGATGGCACTGTTAGCAGAAATGGCTAAATTGATTTGTTTGATTAAAGATGGAACAA